GTTATGTAAATCTTCCCACATCGTGACGTAGATATGTGGGGACGTGTTTGAACGAGGCGTTTTAGGAGGGCGTGGACCAGTCTTAACTTTTATAAAGAATATCTCTTTGGGTTTGAGACTTTAGTCTTTGCAACTTTAGGGTTCTTATCTATTCTCGAACAGCTTGTAACACTCCAAAGAGAAAGGAAAACTTGAAATCGCATCATATGACCCCTTTAATGAAGCACAAGATGCTCTTTGGATCATTTTTAAAATCACACTGGATAACATGATCATCAGGTTTTGTGGAGCTCATGAAGCTGTAATGCTGCTGTCAATAAAGCAAAAAGGGACAAACTAAATACTAAGACATTCTGAAATTTATGTTCATTTTCAATTTGATAAAAAGGCAAAACAGAAGCATTTTCTCTAGTGGTCTCAGACTTTTGCTCCCTAATGCAGGAGTTCAAAGGAAAACAAACAAACAAACACAAATTGATATATTATTCTTGTGTCTTACCTTTTAGCTGATCAGTAACACTGTGCCCGACACGTTCCATCACTCGTCCATCCTCCCTCTCATAACGGTCATCCAAAAAACTTGCCGTGACCTCCGACAAGTGCACCTTTCCCGCCACACCCAGCTGTTCCATAAGATTGGCCAAGTTGACATCATTAGACCAAACGTCAAACTTAAAGCGCTTCATTCCCAGAATACCACAGAGCACAGTGCCGGTGTGCACGCCGACACGCATGTCCACAGTCTCCGACGTCTCCTGGCAGAACTGCTCGATGGCCTGGATCATCCCGAGCCCCATGTCCACACAGCAGTACGCATGATCGGTGTGTGGCTCAGGGCAGCCCGCCACGCAATAGTAGCAATCCCCAAGAGTGCTGATCTTCTCACAGCGGGTCAACTCACACAGACGGTCAAACCGACCAAAGAGGTCGTTTAGCAGTCCTACCAGTGCAGGGGCGGACTTGTTGGCACTCATTTTGGTGAATCCCACGATGTCTGCAAAGAGGATGCTCACCGGCTCCATGCGCTTCATGTTGAAGGGCCTGAAAATGATTTGTCCGCGAGGGATAGAGTTCTTCTTATGTTTGTTGCTTTTGGGGCTGGACGAGGTCGTGGCAGATGCGGGAGCGACAGAGCAGGTACCTGCGCTGTATCGTTTCCCAGAGCTCTCACTTTCCTCGTCTCCTTGCTTCATGAGCTTGTCTGCCACCAGCCGGGGCATCACGGAGTGGATCATCCGCTCCTTAAGCGCCTTCTCGACCTCCAGGCCCTTCCCGTGCATGATTGCCTGACCTACCTTGAGAAAGGTACTCCGAGAGCGCACTTCGGACATGATGAATATGTGGATGCCAATGATATGCGCGCACAGGTGCAGCAGGACTTTACCTAGGCCAAGCCAGCTCAGAGTATGCAAGTCCGACCTTTCCGACCCTACATAGCTATCGTCCATCTGAGCAAGGTGCAGCCAGCCTAAAGCCTCATAGAGGACAGAATACAGCAGGCCGAGAAGCACCGACACATACAGGGGCAAATGCAACACACTGTACAGCAAAAGCAGCACCTCTATACAGAGGGAGAACGTCCCAACGGGTGATATACACGGAGCATTTTGAGACGTAGGTAGTAGTGAATGATTGCTTGTTTTTTGGACATCAAAATGAGCAAAGTGAGCAGTGTGCGTTTGAGGCGCCAGGGTGATCCCAAACATGATCACTGTAAGTAGGAGGGATGTGTGGTTGTAGTAACGTGCATATGGCCTTGAGAACGTAAACCAGAGGAGGAGGAGGCACAGTACAAGAAACCCTGCCGTGGGGACCAGGAAGTTTATAGGGTCACACCTGGTGCTATTGATCCCAAAGTATATCCCCCACACGAGCGCAGCGGTGGCCAGGTAAAACAGGATGTAGCGGAACCTTCTCTGCATCTGCGGGAAGCAACGTTCCCTGCACGCCTCCTCCAGGATGGCTGAGTTAAACTTGGGGTCCCAGCACTGCGCGGCAGACCTCTCAAACAGCGGCGGCACTCTCCTCGGACTGCTCAGACGAGTCATCATAGCCCTGGGAACACCCAACTCCCCCGAGCTGCAGCTTGACGAGATACTGTATTTGCAAGGTTTGGAGGAGCCCATGTTGACAGGGTCACCCTCCTTGCCTGGACCCACCTGTTGATTACAGCCATCAGTTATCCGCACAGTAACAGTTCCACCTTCGCTATCACACCTCACCTCCACCTTGTGCAGTTGCTGGTGCTTCTCTGGCAATGACATGGTGATGAGACAACAACTGACTGTTATTTAACACATATCACCTACTGCTGACAGTACAGAGGAAGTGGCACTTGACATGGATTCGAATGAGAACAAAAAGCACAGTTTGTATTAGAAAAGAGTCCAGCCAGAAGTAAATTCCAAGTGCATTCACTATGAAGATGAACCGTCTTGGACTCTTGAGCAATTCCTTATCCGTGCTGAGATTACGTCAGCACTCGGATTCCATTATATTCTACGGCTCAGTGGCGCGTGAACGCGCATATATGTACTTTTGCTCCGTACGCGCGGCCGACACTGACGCACTGTCATCCGCTCGATCCTGCTTTTTTGAGCACATCGCTTTAAACACGAATTCAACACCACAGGAGCAAGTATGTATCGTTAGAATTAGAAAAAAATTAGGGAGGTTAGTTCACATAGGGTGTTCTGAAACGGCTTTTAAATTAGTTTTTTTTAATCCAGTCAACACTGTCCCTCAAACACCCTCTCCAATGCTCGACCATGTTTGAATTTACTTTCCCTTCCCAAATGACATGCAAAGGTAATACAATTTTATATTTCATATTTCCAAATGCCAGATTTTACACATTTCTTGTACTCGGTTTCAGTTTTAACTCAGCAAACACCAAACTTAACGGTCGCTGTTTTTCAAAGTGTATAGCTGCTAAAAAGGCGCCAGTTTCTGGGAGAATTTTTTTAAATGCGCCACTTTTCTCTTTATGCGGTCAAAGAACACAGAAAATTTATTAAAAAATAACTAACAATGTATTCCCTTCGGTTCTGACATCAAGTAGTAGCGAGAATCGTCCTTATATTGCGTAAACTAAGGGATAACAAACTCCTGAGACGGTAAGACGTTAAAGCTTGCCCGTGTTTTTTCGTCAAAACTCACGGCAGATTCCGTCACTGCCCCACTTCTGCCCCGTCGAGGGTCAGAAGACGGCCTATTCCCATGGAGGAGCCCCGTCCTTTCCTGAACACCCGCTCCGGATGTCAACCGTGAGTTTTCCAGCTTCTCACGCGCATTAAAACACTTCAAGCTCAGGTTGACGTCGTGACAACTTCAAATGACATCAGCCGTTCGCGTGCATATCTGCCAACTCCAGAAGACCAATACTTAAGATTTCAACTTCCAAGAAGAAAATACTGATGGCATCGAGGCACTCTGACAAGTCAAAGTGTGCTGAGGGAAAGTATATCCTTGTTTGTGTGTAATCCCTTTTAACCAGTTACTTGGAGGTAATCTCAAAACATTTCAATGCAGTGTTCAAAATGAAGACAAAAGTTTTTAGTTTTTCCCCCCCAGGCCTCAAGTCGTTTGATCGGGCTGGCAGTTCAACACTCGTGGAGTTCAGAGAAAGAATGAGCTCTCACACTCCAATGCTTAAAATCCCAAGCCAGCGCTCCAACATTATCTGCTTCTTTAATCCCCACTTTGTCCGTTTAGCATTCCTCCAAAACTCCGTTCAAGTCCGCTATTTTTCATGGGCATGCTCATGCCAGGCGAACGCACCGCAGCTGTGCGTTGCGTCCTCTTCCGTTCGCTCTCGGTTCTCCTCCCCGTCTGCACGAGCCTGTTGAAGGGAACGGCGGTGTCGTGAGAGCCGGGCGGCTTCAGGTAGGAGTTGAACACCGCTGGTTGGCGCCTTACCCGGGCGCTGCGTTCACGAGCACCACCACCATGTTCTGAGCACACTCGGAAAAGATGGTTGTGGGCGTGCGGTGGGGTGGATAACTTGACTACAATGTTGAAATTAAGGGAGGAGGGGGCAAGTCGCTGGGGAGCGCGCACGCAGGGCTCTTTAACGGCGGCGCGCACGCATGAGAACGTCTTCACGCTCAAGTTTGGCTGATGTTCTCTTGGCGTGGAGTTCATGTTGTCATCAAAAGAACAGGTACGTTTAGTATAATTGTGGCTCTATTTATTCTCTGAGTAATTCATAACTGTTATATAAGTAAGTTAGTATAGAATAAGAAAGTAAATAAACTTGAGTGTACTAAAATGTCAATATGTAACTTTTAATGTTTTTTATTTTTTATTTTATTCTATTCCTTTCAGAATGTGGCATCAAATCTGACCATCCTCAAAGGTACTCGAGATAATTATATATATATATATATATATATATATATATACACACACATATACATATATACAACATGCAATTGCCCATATATACAAATAAAGAGTAAACCCTGACTTTCAAAAAAGCAAAAGTTATTTTCTTCAGGGTTATTCTTAGTCTGTAGTATTTATAATTCACTTCATTTAAAAACAATAGAAGTGTAAATGGTTGAATGGTATGTTCCCATGTAGATAAGCATAAGTGTGTATGTGTTTCTTCATCTAGGAACATACCTGAGATTCTGGGTGCGTCTTGACCTTTGATCTATCAGATAAGTCACATCCAAGTGATAATCATCCCACGCTTCCTGTGTCAGATGTTCATCATGTCCAGTTTCTGAGACGTTGTGTTGTGTCAGACGGGAAAAGGTGTAACACAAGAGTGCGTTCAGGAATTTGACCGACACCAGCCTGTGGAGTCGTCATGCATACGTGTACAGCTTTTATTTCTTAGTGGCCACTTGTGGTCTCCGACTCAAAAAACAGAGCTGTGGATTATTAAACAAACAAGAGTATAACTAGCTACACAGTATTTAGCGCAAATCTAATATCAGTTGTATACTCAGGCTACTACTTTATTGCAGATATTACAACATTCACACTTCTAACCCTTCTAAGAATCATAAATACTTAAAAGAAGTGAGCTTTCATGTGGTGTAGCTCTATAAAATGTTTTACACAAATTGCCCTGTTTGAAACTGTATTTTATATAGAGAAATGCATAGATTGCTGCTATCAAAATAGATAAACAGATAGCTGACATAAACTGTACTTTTTATGAGACCAAATATCGCAGTGAGTTAAGTGATATGCTTCGCCATCTAGTGGACATTTTGGATCCTCTTATGTTGAAGTGAATCAACTGCAGCTGCAAAATCGTTATCATTTGTCTCACAATTCATCCACGTATTTATGCTACTTTTTTTTTAATTGACTTAAATATCCAGTTGAACGTTTAATTTCAATATTGGGTAACTCAAGAGTCACAAAAACAATTTAATGTCACCACAGTTGAAACATGCAATAATGTGAACAAACGCAACAAAATGTATCATCTCATTTACCAACAACTCGTACACCAGTAAATTGTACAAAGGAATATGATCAATATGTACAAGTGGAACTGAAGTAATGAAGTCAAGATAATACCACATATGGCATATTCACGATGGAAGCCTGTTTCTACCACGGCATAAAGAAAAAATAAAATAAAAAAGGTAATTTTGACATTTGATCTCACATTTCAGAGATATAAACTCAATTCTGAGGAAAAAAAAGTCAGATCTGCAACATGGACATCGAAGATATGAAGACTTTTTCAATTCTGGGTTTTTATCTACCAGTTCTGACTTTTTTTCCTCAGAAGTATTTAGAAGAATTGTGTATATAAGTATATAAGAATTGTGAGGTAAAAATTCACAATTACCTTTTTTTTTTATCCTGTGGCAGAAACAAGCTTCCATAATTCACACTTTTAAAACGACATTCAAACAATAAATAAATAAGATTGTTTATTTTGAACAGTATAAATAAGTAACATTTTTGCAAGCGGAGTTAAATTAGAACAAGGAAGAAAAAGAATAACACAAAAGGAAGAAAAATAGGACACTGCTTCCCTTCATTTAGGTCTGTTTTATACAGAGTGGTAAAAGTCTCTGTACACACTGTGTTTAACTGGCTTTCCATTGATGTGAATCTCATCGAAGTGTCACTTATACTCTCTCATCCATCCATTCATTGCTTTTGGTGCCACTCTTCCATATTTCCCACCGTTCTTCTATTACTGTCTCCTCCAACGGTTTTGGGGTTTCTCCTTGGTTTCTGCAGCTGCCTCTGCCTTGGCTTCCCGTTTCTCTGCCAGACTGCTGAGCAAAGCCGGCAGGTCATCTGTGATGGCCTTCTCGATCTTCTCCAGCAGGCATCCGCCTGACCAGCTGCAGTACGAGGAGAGGAGCTTAAAGCCGCTGGGAGGATTGACTCCAAAGAAGTCCCGATACGCCTCCGGTTCTGGCAAGTCGAACTTACTCACATTGGTCTTGGCCAGAATGGACTTGAAGATGTAGAATTTGTCAGGGTCACTGACAATATCGTTGAAAACCTCATGTGGGTCACTAAACCAGCCCAGCTTCTCATAATACGTCTGCAGGTAGCGGTCGACCAGGAGGGCGTGGATGCGCACGCGGATGCCATGTTGCCGAATGAAGGCGATTTTGTTTTCTAGCCGATTCTCGATTACCTGATTTAGGTCCTCCAGCAGAGAGATCTCTTCACGTTTAAAAAGGTCTCTGTTGGTGTCCGGAGCGTAATCCTGCAGCCAAAATGAGCTCACGTAGACGCGTGGTGGTTCTGTCACGTTAATCAAGGGTGCCATGCTCCAGAAGAGGGCGCCGTACACGCGCATTAGGTCCTGGGTTGTTAAACTGTCAGCCTTGTTGAGGATGATACGGATTTGTGACTCGCGTCCCTTCATCTGTCTGAACAGCATTTCTAGTTCTAATCCGACATCCAGTTTGGTTGGGTCAAACACCAGGAAGATGAGATCAGCACGGTCGATAAACCACTGGCAGACTTCGCTGTAGGGGTACCCTAAAATACAACAACAGAGTTTTAAATGTGTACAAAGCCAAAATGTTTTAGTTATACTAAATATTTGTTCTTATTATGTTCTTATATGTTAGGGTTGAAACTGATTCTTATTAGGGGTGCTCTGATCAGGATTTTTGAGGCCGATCGCCGATCACAGAAAGCAGTATCTGCCGATACCGATCACCGATACCGATCTTTTTAAAGCCTTCTTTTTATCATTTATAACTATTTATAGTGATACTCCAATCAGGATTTTTAGGACCTGAATTTCATTTTTGAAAATGGGGGGAATTCCCCTCTTAGGTGACTCTTGTGAGAGAAG